TCTCTCTCTCTCTCTCTCTCTCTCTCTCTCTCTCTCTCTCTCTCTCTCTCTCTCTCTCTCTCTCTGTGTGTGTCTGTGTGTGTGTGTGTGTGTGTCTCCGCTAATACGGTGTCTTCACTTTCCAAAACGACAAACTATTCACCCAAGAGAAGAGATAGAGAGATCTGTGGTATTTAACATCCTTTTCCTTCTCCTCTCATACACCTCTTTTCGCGCTGTGTTCCCCACAATTGATTCTTTTCGTCACCATGTCCTAAGGACATTGCTTCCAATCTCCTTCCTCCCTTGGTCTCCTCACTCCATACCGCTCTCTTCTAGAACCAGGCCTTCTCTCTCTCTCTCTCTCTCTCTCTCTCTCTCTCTCTCTCTCTCTCTCTCTCTCTCTCTCTCTCTCTCTCTCTCTCTCTCTCTGTGTGTGTGTGTGAGTGTGTGTGTGTGTGTGTGCGTCTGTGTATTTGTGTGCGCTATCGCCATTCTTTTACTGTTGAGACGTAGAATACAATTAACGTTAACGTATAATATAAGTGGAAATTAACGCATAATATAAGTAGACAGGTCGCGGCGATCACTTTTTTTACTTGATAGGTTTCGAGCTCCCGCCCGCCTAACAGTTAAATTTTTGATGAATGCGTTAAACAGCGGCACTTACCTCGGATATTACCTACCTCCGCGTAACCTGTAATCACTGCAGTAATTAATTTTACCTTGCGTTAACTTTTTTGCCTCGCCGCCACAAATTATTCACAGCCACTAATTAAACCCGTCGACTCCTCGTCGATGAGATTCACATCAGTTGACAATGGCGTTAACTAATGGCAACCTGCTTATTAATTTTTTTACCGCAGTTCGACCACCGGTTCACACCGAGAGTCGTGTTCTTACCCGTCTACGCGGCAGCGCAAGCGGCAGGCCACTACGAAAAGGCGCAGTTGCAGGCTCGCGGGCAACTATGGAAAGTAGCTTCGTTCGTCAACTCTGGCTCGTGGAAAGCTACTCACTTATTAAAAAAAAAAGCTACTCATTTATTATTAAAAGAAAAAAAAAACACGGTTTACCGAGATATCTGCAGGTAATTAACACGTTTTTTGACAACTGGAGTATTCGATTACATTATCAAAGTAGTAGAGTTAACCAAAAGCTACTCACTTATTATAAAAAAAAAAAAAAAAAAAAAAAGATAGTCACTTCCAAGTTCACCGTTGATTGAAGTCATTAACGCCCGCGGGGTCATCTGACATTCCAGCTGCAGCGGGTGCTGGTGGCTTGCGGCCGCAGTTCACCCACTGGCAGAAACACCCACAGACTACAGCCGCCAGTCTCATTCTGCTTCCTCGCTCTCTCTCTCTCTTCTTAATCTCCGCAAATCGACCAAGAAGTGGGAAAACCCACAACACCGACCCCGGCCTCGTTCAAGGCATATTTATTTATTGACATATAAAAGACATCGCAATCGTCCCCATGCCATGTGTGCTCCAGCTACACACCCTGGCTACCCTCACCAAGAACGAAAACCCTTCAAAAAGCCCTGCTCTATCACTTCCTAACACTTCCTCGGCCAGTAAACAGTTTTAAGTCCTGCCCTCCCC